TCTGTTTGTTTATGTCTCATTCTGGCCTTGCTACTCCCAAGAGGAGTGTTCCCACATTAAATAGGAAGGAGCTGAGGACACAAGTTTCTACAGTTTACAAGGCCCTTCCCATGTGTTGCCTCGGGGCTCCTGGTATCCCCCGGGAGGTGGGCCTGGCAGGATTTACTGCACCAGTTGCACGGAGGGAAACACTGAGCCCAGAGACCCACAGGATGGAGGGATGAAAGCAAATGGGTGGCCGAGCTGGGGCATGGTGTGTGGTGGTGACAAGTAAGTGGGGGTCACTGGCTGGATGGCCCTCTTCCCTCCCCATTCACACTTCGTCAATGTCTTCATCAGTAGGAAGAGATGGAGACAGATGGAAGGGAAAGGAAGACACAGGGAGGAGGGGGGAAATGAAAGGATGGAGGTGAGGTAGGGGGGTAGGGAGAGAGCGCTGGGGAGGCAGGGGGAGGGGAGGGGTCCAAACAGAGCCGCTACTTCCTCTTATGGTTCTCACAGTCTGTCTGCACCAATTCCTGACAGATGGAGGGAAGGGGAGAGCTGGTGCCAAGAGGCTGTCACCGCAGGCGGGCAGAGCTGGGGTGGGGGGAGGGTGCTTTGCGGCCAGGGTTTGCATGGGGAGGGGGCAGCAGCTGGTGGTCTGGCTGCTGGGCTTCCTTGGAGCCAGCTCCCCAGGAACTGCATTGGTAGAGGGGCATTGATGCTGCTGGGCAGGAAAATGGGCAAGGGGTGAGCCCATCACTTGCCTAGGAATGGCCATGCCCTTGCCCCTGCCCAAGCACAGATGGCCACCCCTCCCTTTTCCATACCCTGTGTCAGCAGGGCCCTCCCCCAAAGGATACCACTTACCCAGCCCTCACTGGGTGTGGGCTGGGCAGGTGCTGGGGGGATGGCCGGGGCTGAGCTGTGGTCAAGGTCAATGAGGACAAGAGAGCATGGGCACCTGGAGACCCTTGGGATCATGGGGCCATGGGGGGGGGGCTCAGAGCAGGTGGGGCCCAGTCTCACGTCTGCAGGGCCAGAACTCACCCCCTCTTTGAGCTTCCCAGAGGTTTCCCAAGGCCTCTTGATTTTTCTCTAAGCTCTGACGGGTGGTGGGCAGGCCTGCTCCAGGTTTGGTTTGGGACCTTCAGCATCCCTTTATTTAGAGTGTGGGTTTCTCCAGGCATGGTTGGGTTTCATGCTGTCTTTTCTAGCACCCCCTGTGCCCCAGGCAGGGCTCAGCACAAAGGAAGGGGTCCAGTGAATGCCTGTTGAATGAATGAGCGGATCCTCTGCTTGCACACCTCCTGGGGTGGTGGAGACCTCACTTCCTCATATGGTAGCTCTTTCTATTTCCAGAAACAAAGTTCTTTCAGATTCTATGCTGAGAGGCCCCATGGGTCCTAGGCCTATTACAGGGGCTATACAGAGCCCCTTGCTGATCCTGCTGCCTTAGAGCAGTCTTGTAGACCAGAGACACCCCCAAGCCCACCTCGATCCTCCATGGCATCTGACAGGGCTGGGTCTCCACTGCATTTATCTCTGGGTTATCAGTAATCACAGCAGATGTCCGAGTCAGGAGGTAAGGGGTGGCTGGATGGGCCAGGAAGGCCTCCAGGGGCAGGGGGCTGTGGCAAAGTTTGGGGGTATGTGGGGCTTGGCAGGGCTGAGGACGGGTGGGGATTACACTCTAGAGGTAGATCCTAGGTAGACCCCTGTCCCAGCCTCTGCCCCTGCCTTCCTCCCCACACTATTCCCAGGCAGATCCTTGACACTAAGACTTCAGCTGGGCAGTCCTTCAGGAGAGACCTGGGAACCTGAGGCCCAGAGCCCATCCTCACCTGGAGACCAGGCTGGAGCCCAAGGATCTTACCATGGCCCATCCTGGTCAGTGCCCTGAGACGTGTGTGGGGTAATGACTAGGGCCTGAGCTGTCAGGTAGCTGGGTGGAAGCTGGGCCTCTTACTGCTCCCTAAAGTTGGTCCTGGTCAGAATTATCCGCCCCACTAATATTAATAATGGCGATCATTAATGATAAATTATGGTGCATCCACCTTGTGCCAGACCTCAGCTGGGTGCCCTGGGGGAAAGCCAAGAGTAGACGGTGGTACCAATCCTGAGAGCAGGACATGCACCTTTCACTGCATTTCTCTCTTCCCCAGAGCCTGTCACAGGCTGGGCACACGGGGGCAGCTTAATAAGTTGTAGCAGTTGAGAAACAGGTTCCGGGCCCCTCTGGGGGACACACTTCTCCCCTTTCTCCATCATTCATAGATTGATTCCACAAACATTACTGCCAGGCCTTGTGGCCACCCAGCATGGCCCTACTTCCTGAGCTTTCCCCTCACCACGGCTCTCTGGATCCCCACTGGCTCTCCAGTGAGTGTAGTGGGTAGTTGTGGTCGCCTCGAGTCCTTCATCTGTACAATGCGCGGGGGGGTGGTAACAGCAGTCTGTTCCTCAAAGGACCGTGGAAGCGTATTAGAGGAGGTGATGACCACAGGACCTAGTCATCACTCAGGAGGAAGTGGCAGAAATGAAGATCCCAGAACATCTCTGTTCTCTTTGTGTGACCTCGTGAATCCCCTGACACCCCCGTCCCTCTGCTAACGGAGATGGCGAGGCATAGAGGGGTGGGGTGACTCAGCATGTGAGTGGCAGTTTCGAGCCTGGGCCGCTAAGACTCTGAGGTCCATGTGTTTGCCCCTGCACCAGGCGGGGATGAAGGACTTAACCCGAAAGCTCCTTTGGAATTGGAATTGCAGAGGCTCCTGGCTTCCCGTGCTGATCTCCTGCAAGCCTCCAGCCCCCAGATCCCAAATCCCTCCTAATCCTAGGAAAGAGGCAGCCCCCCCCCATCACATCCGTCAGCAGCTCCCAGAGCCCTCCCTGGGCCTGTCACCTCCCACAGGAACCCCGAAGCGGCAGGCAAGGGCCTGGGCTGCAAGGATGGGGGATTTCCGAGTAGGGTTGAGATCTGTCACAACATTAATGTTAATTAAGCCTCGTTAATTCAGTCCTCTGCTTACGCAGAGCTCCTGACAGCAAATTACTCATAAGTGAGGCGGTAAATTTATTGCTGCGCTTTCCCAAACACTCAGCAGCAAAGCACGTGCCCCTGGGAAAGTCAGAGGAAAGGCCTGGGGTTGAGTGCTGCACGATCCCCGCCAGCCTGACCTACCTGGGCCCTGTGGCCCAGAGAAGAGCTGGGGCTCACCGGGAAACCCCGGAGAAGATGGACTCTGGGCCAATCAGAGCAGGCTGCTGGGAGATGTGGTGAGCTCCCCCTCCCTGGAGGCACGTAAGCAGGAGGGCAGGGAGCATTGCAAGTCCCTGCGGACCCACCTATCATCTTTCCACCTCATCCATCTCACACCCCAAACTGCGGTGGCTCTGCGCTTTGCGTCCTCCCATAGTGCCCTGAAGTCACACAGTGGGGTCCCTAAAGAGTGAGTGTAGATCTGGATGTGAGCCCCAGAACTGCAGTGCAGTTTGACAGGAGCTCAGTGGCCTCCACAGGGACCAAGTTCCTGGTCTACTGAGGCTGGACAGCCCTGCCAGGGATGCCATGAAGGGGTCTGTCCCTGTCCTGGGTCATAGGGCACTCTTGGAACCAGGGCCAGGCCCACATCTGAGCAGATGGCCCCTGAGCCCAGTCTCCCTTGCCAGGCTAGGTATCAGTCCTCCAGGTAAGGGTACCGTGTCTCCTGAGTTCAGTGGGAGCCCCTCCCCCTTGGACCTGCTTCCCTCCTTGGCTTTGAGCTGTGCCATGCCTGAGACATTTGGAACAAACCCAGGCTCTGGGTACCTAGAATTTTTTTTAATTAATTAGAGCATTAAATGGTAGCCCTCTGGGAGAATCCCACCATCTGGCTGTCACAAGAGAAGCAGGAAAATCTACGCATATTTGTCTGTAGTGTGTGAATGTCCTCTGAAGCCCCCGTGCGTGCGTGGCTGTGTCGGCCGGGTACTGTGGCATGTGCACAGCGTGGCACGCGTGTCTGAGTGTGTTTGGTATGCGGCGCACATCTGAGTGTGCAGGTGGGTGGTGTGTGTCTTTCTGTATGCACATGTGCTCCATGCAAGGACACATTCTGTGCGCATGCCCTGGAGGGTCTGCACGCCTGTCTGAGCACACTTCGGGCCTCGGTGCTAGGGGGCAGCAAGTCAAGCTGGGCTGTGTGCCGAGAGGGGGGCGACCTCTCCACCCCTCCTGGCTGAGGTGGTGATCACAGCCCCGGGCGGGGGCGGGGGCGGCATGCACAAGTGGGCTAAGTGTGGCTCTGGCAAGTATGCACATGGCCTGCAGGGGGCGGGCGGCTTGGGATTCTTGTCCCCCGTTTGACAGATGGGGAAACCCAGGCCTGCCCAAGCATAGAGCCAAAGTGGAGGGGCCAGGACTGGAGCTCAGGCTCTGGGACTCCCTGTGCTGTGTTCTTTCCGCTGCGCCAGCCAACATTTTCTGGCCTTTGGCATCTTTTATGCTGTCGGATTTTCATGGTGACTCGGAGGTGTTCCTGAGAGAGTACCGGCCCCATTTCAGGGTTGCTCGGCGGGGCAGGGCAAGGTCAGGACTCTCACCGCAGACCCTGTGTTGTTCCCATTTTGTGGAGGAGGCGGCTAGCCACTGGGCTGGCCTTGGGTGGTGGCATCAGGGCGGACTACTGGGCAGATAGAAAGCTGTTTGGCCTTGGCCCAGCCTGTTGCTCTCTGAGCCTCACAGGGTGGTTGTAAGAACTAAATGAGGAGGTGTATGCAAAGAGCTTTGTAAGCCCCAAGGTGCCGTGGAGAGATGAGGGTCTGGACCAGCAGTGGCCATCACACTAAGATGAGAGCCACATGTCCCCAGGGTTCCCTGAGGAGAAGACCAGGAGGCGGTGTCCTGGATGGAGGCCGGTGCCCTCCCTAGCCTTGCAGATTGTGAACCTTTCCCCAGAACCATCTGCCTGGATGCTAGCACTGTCCTCCAGCTCCAGCCTCCCACATGTGGCCCATAACAATGAACTAGAGCAAGAATGGGGCTCAGAGAGCAGTGGGACTCACCGTTTACCCAACAGGTGGTGACACGAAGGCCCGGGGAGGGTGAGTGGCTTGCTCAAGGCTGCACGGCCCTTCGGCTGCGACCAGAACCCAGGCCTCCTGGACCCCGGCTCTTTGTCTTCAGAAAGGGAGAAAGTGGACGACACAAAGGAGTTTTTTGTAGCCGGGGTAAGGATGTAGGTGTGCCAACCAACTGGAGAGACCTTGGGATCCCCTGAAGCCCTAGGTCATTATGCAAGAATGAAGGACTTTTAAAGCAAAGGTTTAATGATTATTGTCTTGACTGCGTATGCAGAATCTGTATGGTGAATATGGTTTGTATCTTGGCCTGTAAATTCCACATAGATAGAAAAGACCGAGCCTCGAGATTGCATGTGCTCATTCACTCACTCGTTCATCCCGCACACATTCCCTAAGTGTCCCCTTGGTGCTCACCATGTAGACCTATCCTGCCTCCAGTGAGTTGCGAGTCTGGTGGGGAAAGATAGTCGTGTGACAACAATACAGCGTGACGAGTCTGTGACCAAAAGAGGCCTTGGATCCCACATGGGGACGTGGAAGAAGACTCCACGGTAGAGTGGGGGAACTTCCAAAGAATGAGGAAGATGTGCCTGTGTGACCCCCTGGCCTCCCAGCCTCCCATGGGCTCAACCTCGGACAGGCTCATCATTCACCCAGAAAGGGGCAATGGAGCACCTTCCAGCTGCCCTCCCCTAAGCAGCTCTCCAAGGACCAGCCTTTCTACTTACATGTGGAAAAACCAAGTGAGGAAGAACCAGGAGGCCCAGGATGACAGAGGCCAGGCCTCCTGATGCCCCTTAATAACTGTAACAAGAACTTCCTGAGGACCTACTGTGTACAAAGCCTGGGAGTGGGGGAGCAGCTGAGAAAAGTTGGAAGTTCCATCACTGCACATTTTCTAATATTTCTATTTTCTGAAATATTAGAATATTCTGAATGTCTTCTAAGATACCGACAGATGTATCTCATAACCAACTACCCTGCAAGTCAGGATTCACCATCACAATTTTAGATGAGGAAGACGCAGGCTCTGAGAGGTCAAGTAACCTGCCGGTGGTCACCCAGCTACTCGGGGGTGGGGGCAAGCTAGGATTTGAGCCCCAGTTCCTTAACCTGCTCCTGGTGGGAAGGGGCCTGTAGTGGGCAGCAGACCCGCATCTGCCAAACCTCTGTGCTCGGAAAAACTGTCTACTTGAAGAAAAGGCAGAGGTGGGTGGAAATCCCGGGGCCATGGGCATGCTCAGAACACAGACTGTTCCAGAAGTGGCTTCCCTTCCACCCAGGCTGTGTTGGGACCTGTCTTGTTGGGGATACCGTGCTGGCTCAGAACCTCAGGGTGAGGGGTTTTGAGAAGTGGCAGAGGCGGCCAAGGTCTGGGCCAGGGTGCCACTGGGATATGAGGATCTGCTGGCCACCTGTCCCACTCCGTCTCTCCACTTGCCTCCCACAGCCCTGTCTGTCTCCTTCTGCCCAGATCTGGTCCAGAGGCCTCACAGCTGTCCTGCTGGGCCCCTGGCTGGAGGCACTGAGCTGTGGCCCATGGCTGTTAACTCTGCCCACACTGCGTGCCCCATGGCTGGCCTCAGATAGGTGGGTGGTCTCAGCCAGAGCCCTGAGCCCCAGCTCTGCAGGACCAGCACCCCGAGACATGGCCAACTCCGAAGGTCTTACCAAACTGCAGGGCTTGCCAGTAGCTAGCAGGACACCTGGTACACAGTAGGCCCCCTGCTTGATTCTTTTGGCTTCTAGCAGCAGAGATCTAAGAGTTTCCAGTTAGAGGGGGGGTCATGAGACCCTCCCTTGGTCCCTCCCAGGACACAGGACTAAGGGTGTGTGATGGACACGGGGAGGCCCTGGGGGCCCTTGCACCGAGCTCTCCCCGAAGGGCGCCTGGGGACCCCCTCTGCCCTGAGCTTTTTGCCAAGCGGTCCAGTGGCAACGCGTGGGCCTGCCTTTCCTCCCCAACTCTGGCACAGCCGTCTCCCAGGAAACGAGGAATTTTCCTTCATTCCCATCATTAGGGTGCCAGGGCAAACAAACAGCCTAATCCAGATGAGCCCTGGACCACAATCACATTCTCTTTTGGGGTTTTCTCTTTTTTTCTAGCAATTTTGAGAAGACTGAAGTAATTGGTATTCCGTACAGGTTAATAGAATTGCTGCCTTCTCAGTATTATGCCTTAATTTCCTTTATCACATAGCAAGTTGGAATTAATCGCCCCTCTCCTTCCTTTTTTCCCACCGAAACGTATTACCAGCCTGTCTGGTGGTTAAAGTCATTTTATGGCAGCTCTTGGCTCCTTTCCACTTCCCTAGGAATCTTTCCGACCAGAGCCAAAGAACAAGGAGGGGTGAAAAACCCATTTGTACAAAGTGGGGATCTCCTGTTGAGAACTTATTTCCCTCTCTGTTCAAGAGGAAGGAACGCGTCCAGCCTCCAGCCGGCACAGCTGACTGAGTCCCCTGTCGCTGAGAGCATTCAAGAGGGCAGAATGGCCATATGTCAGCGCTGGGAACAGAGGATTCCTGTATGGGCTGGGGGAAGGGGCAGGCCTTTGCCACTCCTGGCACCTGGATTAGAACCTTCTAGGGTTCTGCTCTCTGTCTGGGAGTTTAAGATTCTCTCTGTTGGACAGATTCTGTGTACCCACGGTCCTAATATGGGGTCATTTGAGTTTAAGTACTTTTAGATTGTGTGTGTTAAGATTCTAAGGTCCTCTCCTGGAATTGAAGATTCTATTCGGTGATTCTAAGGCTATTTTATGACTCTGTGAGCCGCTGAGGCTGCCTTGGGAGTGTGATCTCCAGGTAGCCTAGGCCTGCTCTGGCCTCAGTTTCCCCAGTTACGAAGTGTAAGGATTGGACCACACGGCTTCTAGGGCCTGACTTCCAGGTATGTTCTGCCTGTAGTCCTTGTTGGTTCATTCTGAGCCTAACCAACCCCCCCCCCCACTCCCCATTGCTCCATCTGCACTGGCCACCTCCCAGCACCTCAGGGGACCCAGAATGTTCTCCCGTCTGAACCAAGCCCCTTGTCTACTTGCCCCTTCCAGTAGGAAGTCAACCCGAGCTCTCCTCCAAAGTCCCAGCAAGAAAATCAGTGGAGGAGATGGTAAGAAACAAGACAATCATTGACAAGAGCTCTGTTGCCAGGCGCCTGGGTGGCTCAGTTGGTTAAGCGACTGCCTTCGGCTCAGGTCATGATCCTGGAGTCCCGGGATCGAGTTCCGCATCGGGCTCCCT